TGTATCCTATTTAATGTTCGTGTGTAGACGCTGTAGAATGCTGACTTGTCGCTGTGTTATAGTCACCTATATTATGTAAACATTGTATCCTATTTAATGTTCGTGTGTAGACGCTGTAGAATGCTGACTTGTCGCTGTGTTATAGTCACCTATATTATGTAAACATTGTATCCTATTTAATGTTCGTGTGTAGACGCTGTAGAATGCTGACTTGTCGCTGTGTTATAGTCACCTATATTATGTAAACATTGTATCCTATTTAATGTTCGTGTGTAGACGCTGTAGAATGCTGACTTGTCGCTGTGTTATAGTCACCTATATTATGTAAACATTGTATCCTATTTAATGTTCGTGTGTAGACGCTGTAGAATGCTGACTTGTCGCTGTGTTATAGTCACCTATATTATGTAAACATTGTATCCTATTTAATGTTCGTGTGTAGACGCTGTAGAATGCTGACTTGTCGCTGTGTTATAGTCACCTATATTATGTAAACATTGTATCCTATTTAATGTTCGTGTGTAGACGCTGTAGAATGCTGACTTGTCGCTGTGTTATAGTCACCTATATTATGTAAACATTGTATCCTATTTAATGTTCGTGTGTAGACGCTGTAGAATGCTGACTTGTCGCTGTGTTATAGTCACCTATATTATGTAAACATTGTATCCTATTTAATGTTCGTGTGTAGACGCTGTAGAATGCTGACTTGTCGCTGTGTTATAGTCACCTATATTATGTAAACATTGTATCCTATTTAATGTTCGTGTGTAGACGCTGTAGAATGCTGACTTGTCGCTGTGTTATAGTCACCTATATTATGTAAACATTGTATCCTATTTAATGTTCGTGTGTAGACGCTGTAGAATGCTGACTTGTCGCTGTGTTATAGTCACCTATATTATGTAAACATTGTATCCTATTTAATGTTCGTGTGTAGACGCTGTAGAATGCTGACTTGTCGCTGTGTTATAGTCACCTATATTATGTAAACATTGTATCCTATTTAATGTTCGTGTGTAGACGCTGTAGAATGCTGACTTGTCGCTGTGTTATAGTCACCTATATTATGTAAACATTGTATCCTATTTAATGTTCGTGTGTAGACGCTGTAGAATGCTGACTTGTCGCTGTGTTATAGTCACCTATATTATGTAAACATTGTATCCTATTTAATGTTCGTGTGTAGACGCTGTAGAATGCTGACTTGTCGCTGTGTTATAGTCACCTATATTATGTAAACATTGTATCCTATTTAATGTTCGTGTGTAGACGCTGTAGAATGCTGACTTGTCGCTGTGTTATAGTCACCTATATTATGTAAACATTGTATCCTATTTAATGTTCGTGTGTAGACGCTGTAGAATGCTGACTTGTCGCTGTGTTATAGTCACCTATATTATGTAAACATTGTATCCTATTTAATGTTCGTGTGTAGACGCTGTAGAATGCTGACTTGTCGCTGTGTTATAGTCACCTATATTATGTAAACATTGTATCCTATTTAATGTTCGTGTGTAGACGCTGTAGAATGCTGACTTGTCGCTGTGTTATAGTCACCTATATTATGTAAACATTGTATCCTATTTAATGTTCGTGTGTAGACGCTGTAGAATGCTGACTTGTCGCTGTGTTATAGTCACCTATATTATGTAAACATTGTATCCTATTTAATGTTCGTGTGTAGACGCTGTAGAATGCTGACTTGTCGCTGTGTTATAGTCACCTATATTATGTAAACATTGTATCCTATTTAATGTTCGTGTGTAGACGCTGTAGAATGCTGACTTGTCGCTGTGTTATAGTCACCTATATTATGTAAACATTGTATCCTATTTAATGTTCGTGTGTAGACGCTGTAGAATGCTGACTTGTCGCTGTGTTATAGTCACCTATATTATGTAAACATTGTATCCTATTTAATGTTCGTGTGTAGACGCTGTAGAATGCTGACTTGTCGCTGTGTTATAGTCACCTATATTATGTAAACATTGTATCCTATTTAATGTTCGTGTGTAGACGCTGTAGAATGCTGACTTGTCGCTGTGTTATAGTCACCTATATTATGTAAACATTGTATCCTATTTAATGTTCGTGTGTAGACGCTGTAGAATGCTGACTTGTCGCTGTGTTATAGTCACCTATATTATGTAAACATTGTATCCTATTTAATGTTCGTGTGTAGACGCTGTAGAATGCTGACTTGTCGCTGTGTTATAGTCACCTATATTATGTAAACATTGTATCCTATTTAATGTTCGTGTGTAGACGCTGTAGAATGCTGACTTGTCGCTGTGTTATACAAATGTAGTCACCTATATTATGTTAACATTGTATCCTATTTAATGTTTGTGTGTAGACGCTGTAGAATATGTTGTTATTGTGTTCTGATGCTCTTAAAGGTTTTTCCGAGGTCTTGAGGTTGTGGTACATTTCTACAAAAAGACCATTTATGTAGTTACTTTATCTTCTTTCCAATCTTTGATGTATTTTAGATTTCAAAATGCCTTTCAACCCTCGTCCGTATTTTTATAGATATACCTGTTGGCACATAAACCTATTCATGAAAGATAAATAAAACATTCAACACTAAAATAAATCAGAGCTCTTAAGAAGATAAAACAACTCTCCCTATTTTATTTCCTAATCAAAAAACACGTCTCGTTGGATCAGAAGCAATCACAAACGTTCAATCTGATAAACAGAGGTGTTGAAAGATTCGTACAAAGATGGTATTGATGATGTAAAAATACCGTCGCGCACAAGGTTAACCTTGAACTGGTTTAAAGTTTAATCTTTTTTTGCATAAAAACAGTCCTTCGAAAACACAAGATTTCCTTTTTCTTTCTCTTTGATGTTAAAGATAGCATGATTAACAACACCAAAAAAGAACCAGACTTTACGCTGGGCCCCCTCTATATCCGGATACATGACGCTGGTTCCCCTCTATACCCGGATACATGACGCTGGTCCCCCTCTATATCCGGATACATGACGCTGGCCCCCCTCTATACCCGGATACATGACGCTGATCCCTCTCTATACTCGGAAACATGACGCTGGTCCTTCCTTATACTCGGAAACATGACGCTGCCCCCCCCCCCCCCCCCCCCCCATATCCGGATACATGACAATGGTTCCCCTCTATACCCGGATACATGACGCTTGTCTCTTTCTATACTCGGATACATGACGCTGGTCCCCTTCTATACCTGGATACATGACGCTGGTCTCCCTCTAAACCCGGACAAATGACGTTGGTCCCCCTCTATACCCGGATACATGACACTTGCCACCCTCTATACCCGGATACATGACGCTGCCCCTCTATACCCGGATACATGACACTGGTCCCCCTTCTATACCCGAATACATGACAATGGTCCCCTTCTATACCCGAATACATGACAATGGTCCCCCTCTATACCCGGATACATGACAATGGTCCCCCTTCTATACCCGAATACATGACAATGGTCCCCTTCTATACCCGAATACATGACAATGGTCCCCCTCTATACCCGGAAACACGACAATGGTCCCCCTCTATACCCGGATACATGACACTGGTCCCCCTTCTATACCCGAATACATGACACTGGTCCCCCTCTATACCCGTAAACACGACAATTGTCACCTTTTATACCTGGATAAATGACGCCGATCTCCCTGTATACCCGAATACACGAGTCTGGCCCCGTCTGTACCCGAATACATGACGGTGGTCCCCCTTTATACCCGGATACATGACAATGGCCCTCCTCTTGTCTGTGGAGTGCGCATGCGCTAGAGAGAGGAGGTCCATCGATCTCGAGTGCAAAATTTGCTCGTATTTTATAGTTTAAGGTCATTATTTAATCACCAAACTGCATTTTTCAATCATATTTAGTCATAATATGGATAATATGTTGATATTATAGGATGAAATCTACTGTAGGCGTAAATTTTCAGTAAGTGACTGAAAACTGGTCATTGGGTGGGGGTAGGAACGGGCGAATAGTCTTAAAATACGACAAGCCGTCCTTTAGTCAAGTCGTCCGTAGGGGTTTTTTCGACGGGAAAGAGCTGGGCGAAAAGTCTTGCAATAGGTCAAGTCAAGTCCACCGAAAGTCAAGTCAAGTCGTCCGTAGCATGATCATGTGTCTGGTAAAGTTCTTTGTAATCGCGTCATTGCTTGGTCTGTTGTGTCACACAAATACCAATGCAGACCCTTGTATCAATTCGTCCAACGTCTCTTTCCGAGACTGGCACTTAGAAAACAAGTGCTTGACCAAAACCATTGATTGGAATAGTGTTGTGCCTCATGAAATAACATCAAAGTGTTACCTTCATATAGAAACGAATGTAAATCATGAGTGTCATCATCCCCTGTACCTGTTTACAGACTTAACCATCTCTGACAAAAAAATCAAATGACCCTGGCTATGACCATATGCTGTACAAATTGTTTAAGCCCATGAAATCTATACCAAAATTAAAGTCATGGAGAGCCCTGTATTTCTATTGGCCTTAGTCATACTAAACTCCAATGACGTCGAAATCAATCCTGGCCCAAAAAACAACAGTACCAAGTATATGTGTGGTACTTGTGACAGTACTATTAACTGGAACCATAGGGGTATCATTTGCGAGACATGTAATCAGTGGTACCACATAAACTGTCAAAACGTACACACAGAAACATTTGAAGATCTGAATGTTAGCGATGTAAGCTGGCATTGTATTGTTTGTAATCACCCAAGTTACAGCCAAATTTTGCTCGACCTAAATGGTATCAATACATCAAACCCCTATGACACCCTGTCTCTTATTGGTGATTTGGGTACAGATACCAACATCAGTAATTGTGTACTCCAACACAAACCAATCCATTCTTCGACTCCTGTTAGAAAGAACACAGGTCCGCACAAAAGACATAAACAAAAACCACTGCGAATTGTTAACATCAACTTCCAGTCGATTCGAAATAAACAACATCTTCTTGAAAATGTCTTGGATAGCACTGCGCCTGATATAGTGATTGGGACTGAAACCTGGCTTAAACCGAGCATAAAATCAGCCGAAATCTTCCCTTCGGGCTTTAAGATCTACCGAAATGACAGAAAAAAGTCAGACACTGATAAAGATGGTGGTGGTGTACTGATCGCTATAAAAGACCACCTCATCAGCGAAGAAGTACATGATCTGACACCAAACAAGGCCAGTGAATCTATATGGGGCAAAGTGAATGTAATCGGGAGTAAAACACTCTATATCTGCCCCTTCTACCATCCCAAAACATCTGACGAAAACAGTATGAGATTGTTTAGCTATTCCATCAAAGAAGCCACCAAAATTAATAATGCAGCCCATATCATAGGTGGCGACTTCAATCTCCCGGGCTGGGACTGGAAAAATAAAGTCCTCAAACCCAAAACAAATCATGAAAAAATACACTATGATTTTGCCAACTTACTGGATGACACGGCACTCACCCAGCTAATCGATCAACCCACCAGAAATGAAAAATATCCCTGATCTCCTCATTACAAATTTCCCAAACCAAATAATTCGAACAGAAATTGTCCCTGGTCTCTCTGACCACGACATAGTCTATGCAGAGTTGAACCTTATCCCACAAAAAAATATTCAAAAACAAAGATACATCCCAGTATATAAAAACTCAAACTGGAATTCAATTTAAGCTGAGCTTATCAACGTGTACAACTGTATGACAGAAAATAGCGCGTGGGACGTAAACAAAATATGGGGGCATTTCAAAATTGAATTGTCTATACTCATGAAAGAACATTTCCCCCACAAGATAGTTAAGACAAAACCCAGCCTACCTTGGGTTACCCCCGACATAAAGAAACTTATCAGGAGAAGAAATAGATTGTACAGACGATCAAATCAGGAGACACTGAAATAAAAAATAAGTATAAAAACCTGAAACATCATGTACAGAGAAAACTTCGAACATCTTACTTTAATTTAATTTAATTGAATTTAATTGAAAAATAATGGACGCAGGCCGAAAGCCTCTAAGTCCATATCACAAAACATAGTATAAAAATATTATATTGTCACTGGTTAACATATATAAACTTTCCCAAAAGAGTTATTTTAAAAGTCATTATCAGTAATTATTGTAAATAGTGTCCTTCAGATGGTTATCCAACAGGATCTCAAAGTCCTTCGTGGTTTCTGCATTTACAACCGATTCCGGTAGACCGTTCCAGATATCAACTACCCTAACCGTGAACGAGTTTTTCCTTAGCTCTGTACTACATCGTTGTTTATACAGCTTAAATGTATGTCCTCGTGTTCTTTCGTTATTATCGTAGACATATGTCTGACGTGACTTTCTCATCAAACTTCCTCTTCACAATCTTGAAAACGTTAATCAAATCACCTCTAGTCCTTCGGTGTTTTAGTGTCGGTAGTTTTATTTTTCTAAACGTTCTTCGTAGGAGATTTCTTTAAATCCAGGTAGAAGATTAGTGGCTCTCCGTTGTACATTCTCTATCATCAAGTTTATACGGACTCCACGCACTGGCTGCGTATTCTAGATGCGGTCTTACCAGAGCCTTAAAAAACTGTCTAAAAATCGATTCGTCCAAAAAAGTAAATGATCTTCTAATAATCCCGAGTACTGAATTAGCTTTATTTATTGAGTTTTGAATGCTGGTCCGAAAGTCCAGGTTTGCATCCACCGTTACTCCTAAATCTTTTTCACTGTTGATTTTGTCAAGTACGACTTCTCCAGTTTTGCTCGCGAGATGGTATGTTCTATTATTGTTTGGCGATCCTTTAACCTGAAGAACCTTGCATTTATTCGGATGAAATTTCAGAAGCCAATCATCAGACCATTTTCGAAGATTATTCAAATCTGCTTGTAGAATTTCCTTATCCTCATCAGTTCGTATCTTGCGGTATAATTTAGTATCATCCGCGAATAGAGGGCACGATGACGCAATGTTCTCGGGCATGTCATTGATATACATAACAAATAGTATTGGTCCTAAAACACTCCCCTGAGGAATTCCGCTTAAGACGTTCTGTAATTTGGATGTAGATCCGTTAACCACTACTTTTTGATGGGTATCACTTAAAAAGTTTTCTATCCATTTAACAGTTTTCGCGCTGATTCCATAATTATATAGCTTGTGTATTAGACGGCGATGGGGTACCTTGTCGAAAGCTTTCATGAAATCCATATAAATGACATCAATTTCTCCTCCCGTATCCAACATATGAGTCCACTCATCTAGGACGATTAACATTTGAAGTGTTGTTGATCTTCCGGGGAGAAATTCAAACTTATTTTTGCTGAATAAATTTTTCAGTTGCATGTGTTGAACTATACTATCACGTATAAGTTTTTCCTTTGTTTTAACGATGATACTAGTAAGACTAACAGGTCGATAGTTTCCAGGATCGGTTTTTGAACCTTTTTTGTAAATAGCGGTGATGTTCGCGTCCTTCCATGATTGGGGTAGTTTTCCTTCAGAGAGAGATTTATTGAAGATTATCGAAATTGGTATACACAAAACATCGCGAAGTTCCTTTAAAGCTTTCGGATGCATCCCATCGGGTCCTGGTGATTTGTTAGCATCTAAATTGAAAAGTAGTTTCTTAATTATATCTCCATTGATTGACGTGTCTTGAAATAAGTGACTGACATGTCTGGCTAGGAACGGAGGTAGCTCCCCCGGTTGTTCTTTAGTAAATACACTCGTGAAGAAATTAACCAATACTTCTGCCTTCTCCGAATCACTAGTTGCTATTTCTGTAGGGTTTCCGTTCCATCCTTTTAGGTCCGAAATTCCCGATCTCACTTTTCTCTTAGCATTTATCTTTTTCCAGAATCGTTTAGGCTGGTGCTTCGCATTAAGTGCAATTTCCTTTTCCATCTCCTTTTTTGCCTTCCGGAGTTCCCATTTGACTTGGTTTCTGAGTTTGGCATACTCCTTATACCTATCTTGTGTTTTTGTTTCCATAAACCTCGTCCAAGCCCGATGTTTTTTTATTGATTTTATTCCTAAGATCCCTGTTCAACGCTAGGCCGTTTTTGCTGTTTGCAGTTGTGTTCTTCCTTTTTGGGATATATTTGTCCGCAGTATTATGGAATATATGGAGAAATTTGTTGTACGCTTCTTCAGTATCCAGGTTAGACAAAGTTTCTGTCCATTCCCCCTCCCGTAGTTCCTTCTTCATGTTGGTATAGTCTCCTTTACGGAAATTATATCCCGTTTGAAAATTGTTGGATACCGTTTTGCGGAACGCGTATTCAAAATATATAAGAAGCTGATCACTGTTGCCTATAGGACTATCGTAATTAATAGCATTCACTGTCTCTTCCGCATTAGTTAATATTAAATCAAGGATATTTACTTCGTTCCCCACTCGGATGCGAGTGCATTCAGTGGAATGTTGATAAAGAAAGTTGTCTCTTAAAAGTTCTATAAAGTTTTCACCTTGTCTATATCCCCATGATATCCATGTGTTCCAGTCTATACTTGGGAAGTTGAAATCCCCTAATATTAACAGCTGTGAAAACTCTTTATCTGTAGAAACTTTAGTTATTAGTTTATGTAGCTCATCGTTGTTATCCTTATCAGAGTTCGGACTTCTATAGACACAGCCAATCAACACTTTCTCCTTATCCGGCGATGTTAATTTTACCCAGATGCTCATTTTAAAGCTGGTTGTTCACTTCCACGGGTTTAAGGCCTTCCTTGATGTAAATACCTATTCCACGGTGTCGATTGGGGTCGTTTTCGTTTATAAAAAATTCATATCCCGGAATGTTTAGCTCTGCTTTACTTGGTAAAAATCTATAATTTTCCGGGTAGATTTCAGTTATACCTATCGCGTCTATACCCCTCTCTTTCTGTTGAGTCCTTAGTTTTAACTCATCTAATTTGTTTAAAAGACTGACAGCATTAGTGTAAAAGCAGCTCAAGTTATCGTTTAATCTTCCCGAATTTTCGTTTTGATTTTCACGATTTTTCTGTTCCATGGGGGGGCCTTTTAACCTGTGGACAAAACCCCCGGTTTCCTTCTCGTTTCTCTTTTTCGCTTCTACCCTTAGTGCTTTCTCTCCTTCTCTTTCTGATTTGGTCAGATCATTATTAATCCGAATGGATTTGTTATCATCATTGGTTTGAAGATTCCGAATATTTTTGAAAAACACAGATTTATAAGCAATGCTACCGAAGCTGACTAGGATGGGTCGGGTTTTCTCCTGTTGTTTTCTACCTAGTCTGGTAATCTTTGCAGCCGAGACTTTGCAGGTTTTAAGCATCTTTGTAACTATCTCCAAATGCGCATGTTTTGCGTCCCCGTTATCCTCTTTTTCGTCAATCCCGAAAATGATTATGTTGTTTTCTCTGCGTTTTTTTATCGTTAAGCTCCGATAATACAGTAGATGTAGCATCATTGATACTAGTATGGGTATCCTTGGATGAACTTACAGAGTTTGCCAGTTCTTCTTGAATTATCTTCCTCACCTCATCAGTTCCACACTTCGACTTTATAACGAGTTCAAGCTTGGTAATTATTTCCTCGTATGCTGCCATTATCTCAGCACATTTGATTTCCACTATGGTTTCGGTATGATGGTTTTTTCTTACTGCCACATTGCATGGCGCGCAAAACCACATCGAATCCGTTTTGTTAGAAAATCATATTCCATGACTTCTTTCTGCAGGCACGCGATACAGAAACGGTCTTTGCAGCGTTCACATTCCAGCATTTTAGCGTTTGGGTCTCCATTGTCCGTCTTCTGACACAACTTACTGGAGCCATATTGATAATATCATCACCCCAGAAAACACAACCAATGAAAACAAATTTTCCTGCAAAAAAAGGGTTTTGGTCATATATAAAATCCAAAAGATCGGACCATAGTGGCATAGCTTCTCTGAAAAAGGATGGTAAACTTGTTTATGACCCTACCACCAAGGCCCGGGTGCTAAACGCACAATTTCAATCTGTTTTTACTCCTCCTGAAATCCCTACCGACCAGCAGTTTCGCACTAGATGCAACATGCCTACTCACGATAAATACCCTGCCATGCCTGAAATTTCTATACATGAAAAGGGCGTCTTAAAACTGCTCCAAGGCCTAAATCCATACAAGGCCTCGGGCCCTGATGACATCAAACCCAGAGTACTTAAAGAGCTTGCAACAGAAATAGCCCCGATATTAACCCTAATATTTAATCAGTCTCTGGAAACAGGCATAGTGCCTTCAGACTGGAAATCTGCAAATGTATCACCTGCTTATAAAAAGGGTCCAAAATTTCACCCAGAAAACTACAGGCCCATATCTCTGACCTGTATCTGTAGCAAAATTATGGAACACATTGTGGTCTCAACTATCATGACCCATGCCGATACCCATAACATATTGTATCCGTTCCAACATGGTTTTCGCAAATCGCGCGAAACCCAACTACTTGAATTTGTAGATGACATCTCAAAGAATCTTGATGAGGAACGCCAATTAGATATCCTCACAATGGACTTTG